GATTGTAAGAGGTGCAATTTTTAGAAGGCTGTCTGTTTGGTATCCTACTCTCGTAACCTCCCGTGTCTCGAATCTTTGCGAGACTTTAGTTCCTATGGTATTGCATTCAAAGGCTTTAGACCGTGATGATGCCATTTTCAGCAATTGGTTACAGTGTGGTCATCTTTGGTCAGAAGTAGACTCCCGAGGCACCCCTGCGGTTCTTACCATGGTGTGTGTAATGGACCCAACACTTGAAATGGCACCCTCGCCTCGCTTGATTCTTGAGGCTACTGCCATAATGATCGTTCTACGGTTATGAAGCTCTTTTACATCTGATCTCGCATGCAGTTTTCTTGGATTCGATCTCGCTGGAACTCACCTAGCACCTTGCACCTTTCTATCTCCCCGTTTTCAATAAATCCTCTTGCGTGTGTCAAACTTCACGTTGGCAATCATCCCCTCTCCACTCTCTGTGACTCCTTTTCCCCTTTCTCCCCATCACGTTTCGCTACCCCAGGTGTGCCTCAAGGCGGAGTACTGGCCATTTACACTCGGAAGGTGCACCAAGGGCCGGGCCAAGACGGTGTCACCATCGCTGTCATGTTCAGGCGCTTATACTTTCCCTGTATGTACGCACCTGCACCTCCAATTATCGCACACCTCAGTGTGTTTATCAAAGTAGGGTGCTTTCGTTTGGCTCTTAGCATAGCACCCTAGCTTTCGCTGCTCGCTACGGTATATTAGAGAAAACTCCCTGCTTTCCCCCACAGCACTTCCTCACAGAGTAAGTTCAGAAGTTGTCGGTATTGAGGCTTTCAGAAAACCAACCTGAACTCTGACAGTTCTGTCTGTCAGCCCAAAACACGAGAAATTATCCTCAGGAACCAGGGTACTGTGTACATTCCTACCGTATCCTCGTGTCACATAAACCTCGCGTCACAAAAACCTCGCGTCACAAAACCCTCGCGTCACAAAAAACGTCATATCACTGTAGCTGATTACAACATGCGAATAAATATTTCCACCTCACTGAAGATTGTCTATTGTGATGCGAGGCTCTTGTGACGCGGGGTAGAATAGATCCTTGGGTCGCGTCTTCAGAGTCTCTCCTTTCCTACTGAAACACATGTACTGGCCAGGAGGATTAACTAACGAGGCACACACACTTTTGTGCGCCGGGTAGAGCTGCCTCCCACAGTTCCAGCACATGCTTGGTTGCCGTTGTACTGCTTGTACAGCAACGCGTTATTATCGTAGTACTTTTGCAGCACAGATGAGCACGTTGCTTTGGGGCTGATGGACTCCGGCTTTCCCTTCACACAAGATCCCAGCTGGAAGTTCCAATACTCCGCTCGCAGGCACACCTGGGTATAGTTCAGACACATCAGTAGAAAGCATAAGGCAAAAAGGACAATATGATCACGGAGTAAAACTAACATGACAAACACACTTATCAACCGATTTTCTCCCCCCTCCCTCACCTGCACGCCAGTGTTGCTCCCAGCAGCCGAGGCAGAGCCAGGGATGGTGTTGGAGCAGACGAGGCCGGGGTTGTTGCGGTAGAGAACAGCCCATGCAACACTATCCACAGTGGCGACCGTCCCTTTCAGCAGCCGCTCGCACGTGTCCTGCGCTGTCAGCATCGCGTACTGCAAGCACACAGGCGCCGTGCTCACAAGCTCTGGATTGCGCTCCAGGCACAGAGAGCGGCCGGGAGAGAGGCTCTTGGAGCAGTCAACCCCGGGGTTGAGGGCTGCAAAGGTGCCGTCCGTTGGCAGATAGACGCGCCCCGCTATGGAGTCGCAAGTATCTCCCTGTGGAAATGGAAACACGGAGATGTGGAAGGTTGGTCAAGATTTGCGTGCGTGCTATGGCAAAGGCAGATAGATGCATGCTGTCGGTGAGGGTAACCAGGCGCTTGTTGCTCGTCCGGGCTATGCACTCAGCTTGCTCTCTAGCGTGGAGAAAAGAGCCTTAAAAACGTCCTCAGAACCCATCCTCTCAGCTGTCATGCATCAGCTTGGCTTGTGCAGGGAAGAGAAAACAGGGGGGGAGAAAATGTGGAAAAGAAACAGAAGAATAAATGCCAGGAAGGAGGTCTCACATCGAGAGTGAAGAAGAAGGCAGTGCAGGAAACGATGGGTGAAGGGGCCTTGACATTGAGTGTCGTGCCTTTCTTCAGGACCTTGGTGCAGACAACACCCTGCCATAGTGCGAGGCATGCAACACAGCAGACACAGCAGATGGGGACACACACGGAAGGAGGATGAATGGCGCGTGCAATGGTGAGAAGGGTGGGGAAGGGTGGGGAAGGCTAACAGCGTTAGGGATGATTTTCTCATGGTCGAGGAAAGCTTACAGCAATAACCAACCACACGCCGTTGCCCGCCCGCGCGGCTATCTATCTCATCCGAACCTCTGGCTCACCTTGTTGAGTGCGGAGAAGTCAGCAAGGGTGAGCCCCATGACTGGATGCACATCCGCACACTGCCAGTTTTCCCCACCCACTGCCACCGTCGTTGCTGTCACATCGGCTGCGAGGGAGAAAGAGAAGGACAGAGAGAGAGAGATGGAACAAGGGAGGAGAGGGGGGAGGGGAGAGAGAGAGGAAGCGAGAGTGAAGGAGCTAGGCACTGCTGGCACTGCTAAGCCCATTATTATTTCAGCTAGCAGTCCTAAACTCATTCTGCTTTCATCTAGATAAAGAGCATTCGAAAAAAATGAAGAAACAGGTATGCTATTATTCATGTCAACCTGGGTCATGCATGTTGGGTGTAGACTTCTCATCCCCAACCTATCCAACCCCATCCATCCAAAAATCACCATGATTTGGATGGATCCTCCTAAGATTTCTTCCTCATTGCATCTTATCCACCCAACGCCTCCTAGTATGTTGTATTGAAGGCCGTGTACTCTTGTCAACCATTTTACCCATTTTCAGTTCATGCATATGGCAGTAATGGAATGTCGGTGCAGGGGAAGAGTTTGGAAGCCTGGCCACTTCTGAGACGACTCAAAAGCTCAAGTACCTGGGCCGCAGGAGGGGAAGCTGTCAATGGTGTTGATGGCTTTCAGGCGCCTAAGAAAACATGGAGGAAGGGAGAGGCACCTGGGCCGCAGGTGGGAAAGTTGTCGATGGTGGTGGTGGCGGCGTAGTTGGGAGGGCAGATGCAGGAGTAGGAGCCCTTGCCATCGTTGATGCATGTGCCCACGGCACAGGGGTTGCTCGTGTGGGACCCACACACGTCCACTGAGGGGATTGCATATGAGCAGGGGAGGGCGGGGGAGCAAGGAAGGCATGTGGGGAGTGAAGGGCAGACACAGAGGCACGTCATGAGGAGAAGCAAAAGGAAAGACAAGAGGAGGGGCGAGAGGAAAGGGAGGCATGAGATAGACACGAGAAAGGCATGAGAAAGGCATGAGAACGGCACAAGAAAGGTGCGAGATAGGCACGAGAAGGCATGAGTGAGGCACGAAAAAGGCACAAAAAAGGCACGAGAAGAAAGGCATGTGGGGAAGGAAGTTAGTGGTTTTCAGAAAAAGTGGGGGAAACGGGTGGGTCGTGTAGAGGGGTGTTGTTGGAGTGTGTTGCACACATACCCCACATAAGCTGTTACCATGCCCATGCTCATCCCCATGCCCATGCCCACGCCCATGCCCATGCCCATGCCCATGCCCATGCCCATGCCCATGCCCATGCCCCAACCCACCGTAGGCACAGGTTTTTGAGGCGTCGGCATTGGCGACCTCCACAAAGGGCTGGGGGCCGGGGCGGGGCAGGCTGCAGGTGCACGAGTACGTGTTGGCGCGCGCGTTGGGGCGGCACGCAAAGCGCCCGCACGGGTTCATGGCCGGCCAGTCCTCCCGGTCCAATGCAAAGCCCTTGAGCACACACGGGTCGCCGGGGACTGCTCCCGTTGAGATACCGCGAGGATGGGGAAGGCGAGAGGGTGTGGGGGGAGTCGAGGTGGGAGGGGGAGACGAAAGGGGTGGGGTTGGGGGTGGGGGGCAACGAACTAGGAAAGTTTTGAACGTGGAAGGTTACTGAGCTGATTCCGATTTAGATGGAGCTGAAAGGGTGAGGCGGAAGTTTGGATGAAGAGGAAGGGCTAGGGAGGAAGACACAGGGGCTCTCTTTGAGCCAAGGGGTGTCGATTTTTTTTAGATGTAGCGGTGGGGAAGCTGTCTAGATTTGAGGCGCCTCAAAACAAGCTGTCGACAATGCTACGAGAATGTGAAACGCAAGTGTGGAAAGGCACAGAACAGCATGAATGGAAGGTCATCATAAGCAAGTGGATAGACGGAAACAAAAAACCTTCGTGCGCAAGGAAACACATGATCGTTTAAAAAAAAACTTGAAAAACCCTCTGGGATACATGTTAAAATTATGCTGTCAAAATCAGTATTTCATATCTTATATCAAGTAGGTTATTGATGGATCAGGCATAGACTTGCTATTCCATGCGAATCCATTTGGTTCGACTCAAACGAAACCCTAGTTTGGTACTATGCTCATGCCCAATCGAATGCTTTTCTCTATGGTTCTTCAGTCTCTCAACGGTTTATATGTTGGAGCCTACGAGGAGTGTAAGGTTTAGGTTGTGAACAGTTGCAGACTATGCTCTAAATCGATCGAGTCACTAGCAGGTTATGTAATGATTTGTTATCCCAACTTCAGTAACTCCCCCGTAACCCAACCGATTTGCCACCTCACCAATGGAGATCTAGCTGGAATCTCATCTCATCCTATCCTTTCTCTTTTGCCTTTTCAACCTGATCTTGTTTGATTTAAAGGCCAAGTACCTTCTGTGTATGAATCGATCAATTTCAACCTTTCTTCAGGCATCAGATGCCTTGTTTTTGACAATGGGGTGAATGCCTCACTCTCGACAATAGGACAGGACACCTCTTCACTATGACAATAGGGTGGATGCCTCAAATTGGAAAAAAAAAATATAGACGCTTCACTCGACAATATGGCAAATGCATCACTCTTAACAACGGGGTAGTTGCCTCACTCTTGATGATTGGGTAGATGCCAGGCAGCACATTGATGCCACACACGCCATCCCCTCCCTGAATGTCCATGCGCATGTGACCCCTGTCGCCCCAACCCTCGCCCCACGAGTTGCGGATGATCCAAAATGGAGGAGGAATACGCAGTTTTCCCTTTTCAAACAGAGTAGCCAATAACGAGGACAACGTGGTTCAGCCTGCCAGTGTAGCAGCCAGGATCCTGGTACTTGATCATCTGGCATGCAAAGGGAAGACATTGGCAGAAGGGCTATAGGGTGAGACACAGAATAGCCAGGATGGAAAGGGTAATCAGGATAGCGAATCTCGAAGAACTATGGACGAAAAACACACTATGCATGTGTTTCAAGCACCAAGCAGTTGCCATGCAAATCAGCATGCACAGTAATTTATAGAATTGCGAAAGTGATCGTCCGCATACCCCGTCGTATGTGGCGAACGTGGGAGCAGAGGCTTCGATGTGAACCAGCACCGGCTGCCGTTCCACTGCCAGCATGAGCCCCACGTACCCCTTGAACCGCGTGCGCTCAAAGCCCTGAACGGGATAGTACTTCACCTGCATAAGTGTTTGTTTGAGGGTCATCAGAAGTGCAGGGCGTTGTGGGGCGAAAGGAGCTTTGAAGTTAAAACCAGAATGTCAGGAAGAAAGAACCGCACAAAGAAATGCATCTCCAGTGTTCTCTTGTTCAAGACAGGTACTCGTGTGCCGAATTCCCGAAAGACAAGAAGACCTACAGCGAGTGCTTACTTGGTCACGCACGTAACGTTAATGGTCGTAGAAAGGAAACACACACACACACACACACGCACGCACGCACGCACGCACGCACGCACGCACGCACGCACGCACACACACACACACACACACACACGCACGCACGCATACACACACACACACACACACACCGTGACATGAACTTGCAGCACTTACAACAGCCGTTTTGCTTGTGCTTGCAGGCAATGTGGCGACTAGAGTTAGTCCCCCTTTGGGCAGAGCGAGCAGCTTCTCAAAGGCGTCTGTTGGGGAGCCTCCAGCGCTGCACTTCCCTTCTTGAGTGGTGAGCCCCATGGCTGCAAAGAGCGACTCCACTGACAGCTGTGGCGCGGGTAACTTCTGTGCGATGCCATAGGCAGCCTCTACGCTCGCCACCACTGCGAATGCCCAGCACGCATCTGAGCAGCAAATGGGACACGATTGAAGAAAGGAAAGGGAAGGATGAGATGGGAGGTAATCCAATCAGATCTTGAAGGATAGGTTGGAAATTTATTGATATTCGAGTGGAATGACAACCGGATTGCATACTTCAAAATAGTATAGAGTACATGAATGGTGGATTGTCACCAAATTTAAGGGGTTGAACACAGGGAAGGAAGTGGGGAGAGAGGCGGGGGAAGTGGGGGATTCGGAAGGGGGAAGTGGAGATGGGGGAGGGAAAGGGAATAAATGGAGGGACGAGCAAATGGACTGATTGGAAGGGAAGGGAAAAACAAAGGCTTCTGGTTTGACGAGAAAACGAGAACGACTTGGAGAGCAGCTCACTTTGTTTAATTCCTGCCTGCATTCTCACTTGCAAGGGAACATGAAAATCTTTTCTTTAAGGAACGAAACCATCCTCCCCTCCCCCTCCATGGCATCCCCCCCCCCCCCCCCCCACAACTCCCTCACCTCCCACAGCACTCACTGCAGGCGTCCCTCCCTCCCTCCTCCCCCCAGGCCCCCACGGCACTCACTGCAGGCGTCCTGGTCCTTGACGGGCCAGGATAGCCAGGGCACATCCCAGGAGGAGGGGTCTCGGAGGAGCCAGGCGTCCTGCTGCCCCGACTGCGTGAGCGAGTAGGATCCACTCACGTACCGCGTGAACGGACTCGCCCGCAAAGGCCGGAACGTCGTTGCAGACAGGGCTAAGCCGAAGGCTGACAAGGTGTAAGCCAGTGGAAATGAGGACGCGGGCGTGGGATGGCGAGATAGTGAGATAGAAAGTGGGCGATGGAATGATTAGTGAGAGGGGAGGGCGAGAGTAGGTGGCGAGTGGGGGGATTGGGATGATAGGTGGGAGCGAGAGGGGAAATGTCAAAAGATTTTGAAGACCACAGTAGAAGACAGTGCGACAGATTTTCTGCATAGGGGTACAGTAAAGTACAGTTCAGGTACAGTACCTGGAACGATGGATACTGCACTGGCTTTTGCGGGAATTGAAAACCCTGTGGACAGGACAGACACCGCAGAAGACAGTAGAAGAGAAAAAACGTGGGGTGGGGATCAGTCCAAGCTACAACCCAAGTGTGGAAGACAATGAGCCACAATGGAGCCAGCAGACTGGTATATCAAATTATCAATGAGCCTTAGAGCCTTAGAAGACGTCCTGATCCGGGAGCCTCGGGAACTGGAGCACGGTGCTGCTGCCGTGCCTAAGCTTGAGAATACAAATCCCTTTGAGAGCCTTGGCTCACCTGTTCGGATGAGAGACACCAGGATGGCGTGCTGCTGCTGGAAGGGGGCCACAGAGGACGCCACAAACCCAAAGTAGAACGCTCTTTGAGCAGCCATTGGCTGCAGCACGTCACACAGCGACAGAGGGCTCTCCAGTAGAGGCACATCTGGCTTCACATCGTCCCCAGACAGGTACACCTTGAGGGCTCCGGGGGCTCCGGGAAAGTAATCAATCCACGCTGTATAAGCCTTTCGGTTGTTGAGACGGAAGGGTGATTGAACGGCCTTGACGGAAGTGGCGCTGCCGCCGGTGTTGAGCCCCACGTGGTGGGCGGGCATGTCCCCATGCGCTGCATCTGTGAACGTGTCAAACTCCACCGCCACGCTCCGAGCGTCCATGCCAGCGTACCCCACCCCTCCCCCCTCCCCGCCAGTCCCCGCCGCATTCGTCGCCGAAATCACAAACGCGAGCCCGTTGCCTCCCTGGCCAGCAGCAGCAGCAGCAGCAGCAGCAGCAGCAGCGGTGGAAGGCAACATGAAGAAGGTGAAGTTGGCTTGGAACTGCAGCTGTGTGCCACAGCCCTCCTTGACAGAATCATACGAGAAGAGCACGAGCGGGTCGGCAGTGAATGCCCCTGCTGTCGCTGCTTCTGCACCCTTGGTGAGAACGGTCGGCGCCTCCACCACCTCCCCGTTCTGAAGTGAGCCTGCAGCAAAAGGGGGGTTCGTTCGGCAAAACAAGGAGGGGAAGAATTAACGCGTTGGAGAAGAAGTTTGTCACAATTTCATACTGACAGAATGCCGGACATAGAGCAGTACTGTCAGAATGCCGGACATAGAGCAGTACTGTCAGAATGCCGGACATAGAGCAGTACTGTCAGAATGCCGGACATAGGGCAGCACTGTCAGAATGCCGGACATAGAGCAGCACTGTCAGAATGCCGGACATAGAGCAGTACTGTCAGAATGCCGGACATAGGGCAGCACTGTCAGAATGCCGGACATAGAGCAGCACTGTCAGAATGCCGGACATAGAGCAGTACTGTCAGAATGCCGGACATAGAGCAGTACTGTCAGAATGCCGGACATAGAGCAGTACTGTCAGAATGCCGGACATAGAGCAGTACTGTCAGAATGCCGGACATAGAGCAGTACTGTCAGAATGCCGGACATAGAGCAGTACTGTCAGAATGCCGGACATAGGGCAGCACTGTCAGAATGCCGGACATAGAGCAGCACTGTCAGAATGCCGGACATAGAGCAGTACTGTCAGAATGCCGGACATAGGGCAGCACTGTCAGAATGCCGGACATAGAGCAGCACTGTCAGAATGCCGGACATAGAGCAGTACTGTCAGAATGCCGGACATAGAGCAGTACTGTCAGAATGCCGGACATAGAGCAGTACTGTCAGAATGCCGGACATAGAGCAGTACTGTCAGAATGCCGGACATAGAGCAGTACTGTCAGAATTAAGGCATATTCTCCTTTCCACTGCAGGCACGTACCCTCAGCGATGCAGTAGATCCCTCCATCCACCGCTGCCGCTGGAATGGAGAAGCAATTAGCGTCGAGCAGGAACTCCTGTATCACACAGTCGGACTCTTGCAGGTCTTGCGAGAAGAAGTTGCTGCTGTAGTGGTTTTTTGAGTACCCTGGCATGGCAGGATACAAAACACGCCCTGTGAGGTAGTTGCGTGATACGTCTCTGCACGGGGGGGAAGAGAGGGAGAGAGGGAGAGAGGGGAGCGAAGGAGAGAGGAGACCATTCAAGGGAGAACGAGAGAGAGCCCTTTGAGGTAGCTGCGCGAGACATTTCTGCAAGAAAAGGGAGGTTGGGGTGGGAAGGGGTGGTGGGTGGGGGAGGGAAGGGAGAGGGAGAGAGAGTGAGTAGTGAGAGAGGGAGAGAGGGGAGGAAGACGAGGACGTGATGTACTCCCTTGGGAAGCTTCCAAGAAGCAACCAAGCAACCGCAGAAGCTCCATTGGGCAGAGATGCTTCCAAGAAATAACCGAGGAACCGCACTCCATGTCAAGGCAAGGACTGGGAGGGCCTGGGATCGACGCGGCACACCATTAGGCTCCAATAATCCCTTGGCAGCTACACATCATTAGGCTTTTCTCTAGAGCTTGGAGTGGGCTACACATCATTAGGCTTTTCTCTAGAGCTTGGAGTGGGTTTGAGTGGTTGTCGGGAGATGTTTGACGTGGATTTCTGTTTAGCGGACAACGTTTTCTTGCTGCCCGTTGCATGTGATGTAACAACCCCCGCATTGATACGAAGGACGGTTCGAGAGTGATCAGGGGAGTGGAGTGGAGTGGAGGCATTGGCTCAAGGGCAAGCAACTGCAGCCCTTCAGGAGCAGTGTCCTCTCCTCACAGAAATGAGAGCATGTGGTGTGTGCTCGTAGCCCGAACACAACTGACGCTGAACTGAACATTCTGCTGCAGTGTAGTGTTGTGTATGTGTCAGGCCTTGGAGAAGCAAAGCGATACGGTACGGCAAAATCAACTCCTGACCACTGCTTTCACAATGTGCTGTGAGATATATCGATCGAGACTCTCACAATGTAATATGAGATGCCCTGAAAAGGGTGCTCACTCACAGGAAAGCAAGTGAAATTGTCGAGAGAGCTTCTGGGATGGAGCCATAGAGCCGGTTCCCTGCCAGCTCCCTGAAGTGAGTGGAGCACAGGAGGGACAAGGAGATGGGGCACAGGAGCGGATAAACAGATGGAACACAGAACAGGAGGTACGGAACATTGGCAGAGGAGTGGCAAGATGGCAGGCGGAGTGCACTGAAACATGGGCAGAGTGTAAGAGTGAGCAAGAGTGAAGCTGTACTCTCTTTTGTAGAGAGATTTAGGAACCGGCTTGGTTGTTAGGAAATAAAAATTTGACAATATAGAGAATGTCGCTTTTCACTAAACTTTTATTTCTTTCTGTGCCTTCAACAGACGGATCCTCAATCATGCCTGTTGCACCACCACACCACCTAGAGATTGCCTTAACACACACACATTGACAATACATAAACAATTCCTCGCAGTACAGTACAGACAGACTATGCCTGCGAAAAACTAGCACTAGCTAGCTAGCTAGTAGCTACAACTATTACTGTAAGTACATAACCGTGTGTCTTACTCACAAGAGATACATTTGCAAGCACGTGCTACTAGCTTACAGTGTTCCAAGAAATTCCAGCTCGCTCAGAGTGGCAGGGATGGTCCCACTTATCTTGTTGTTGGAGAGGCTTCTGAGCAATCCAAACAGGGCACATTGAGTTCAGAGGATCCTTTTGGAACATAAGACTGCTGCTATGAATAATGAAGCTAACATGCACGAGCCATCATCTTCCTACTCCGTAGTGACATCCATCCATAATAATAAGAAAACACAAATATATGCATACATGTACTTGTTTGTGCGAAACTTAAAAAAACAGCGCGCGCGTGCGCACACACACACACATACACACACATCACACACACACACACACACACACACACACACACACACACATACACACACACACACACACTACACACACACACACACAAATGAAACTTAAAAAAACAGCGCGCGCGCGCGCGCACACACACACACACATACACACACATCACACACACACACACACACACACACACACACACACACACGCACACACGCACACATACTACACACACACAAATGAAACTTAAAAAAACAGCGCGCGCGCGCGCACACACACACACATACACACACATCACACACACACACACACACACACACACACACACACACACACACACACACACACACTACACACACACACAAATGAAAGGGAGATCGGCACGGCTCACATCCACCCAAGACGTGGGGCGCCTGAAAAAGAAGCAGGCATCTGGCCGGTTATTTCATTGTTCGATAGGTCCCTGTATAGCACACACCACATGCAGAGGGATTGGAGAAAATGGGCGGGATGGCATGGGATGGGCATGGGCCAGGTATGCATGTGTCATGAAAACGAGAAATTGGACAAGGTGGAATGAGGTGGTTATGTGAGGAGGAACACAACACAGCGATGGATCACACCATGCGTGTGGAGTGGATTGGAAAGGCAAGTGATGCTGCTGGCATGATGGCATGGCGGCATGCTGGCATGGTGCCATGCTAGCGTGGTGGCATGGTGGCATGCTGACATGGTGGCATGCTGGCACAATGGCAAGGCATCTAATCTCCTGACAGCCTGTCCAGCAGCAAGATATGCGGCAGCGAGGCAGTGGAGAAAGGATGCAAGGCTGATACGGGGCGATGGGCCTGGCTGGATGGAGCCCAGCATTGCGGCCAGCACTGTGTGAGTGTGTGTGTGTGTGTGTGCTACCCACACATACAGCGCTGTAAGGTTGTTGGGAGATACAATGAATGGAACTGTGCCGGTTAGACGGTTCGATCCCAGTTGTCTGCAAGAACGGCACGAGGGAGGGAGGGAGGGAGGGAGGGAGGGAGGGAGGGAAGGAGGGAGGAAGCAACAGATTAGAAGAGAAACTGTTGAACAAGATGCACATTTACTAAGGACCCTCTTCTCTAGTGCCTATCATGTGGGTGGCCCAACTAGCAAGGCTCCCACTCCAAAAAGCACCTTGTAAGTCAAGTCTTGTTCCTACCTACCCGCACAGGAGAAGCAAGTGAAGAGAAGCAAGTGAAATTCCACGAAAGCGCAGAGCACGCACAAATACGTGAGAGCGCCCATACCAGCCGTTGATGTAGGCACGGGCCCGGTCAGATTGTTGTGAGAGACGACCCTGCACAGCCCACGCAAGGGGGATACAAAAGGGGAGGCAAGGCAAGGATTTGGGCAGAGCGTGGAGGCAGGGAGAGATAGAACAGGGACTCCAGCAGCAGCTCCTGAATGTGTGTGCATGCGTGCATGAAGAGAAGAGAGGGCAGCCAGTGGATTATAGATCCGCTTTTCCATGGTTATAAATGAGTGCGCTTTGGGACTTTGAGGCGTGTATTTCATTACAGGGGGATAATGATTAGTTAGTCGGAGATGGGCGCGCACTTGCATCAGGGACAGGAAAGCTGAAGCGCAAGGGGGAGTGAAAGGGAGCGGGGGTAGAGTAGAGCACATGTAGTAGCACCAGCGGCGGCCGGCCAGAACACAAGCAGCACGTGGAGTTGTCGTTATCGCATTGGGTGGATGGAGAAGTCGCCAGTGGGCGTTTGAAAGGTTCTCCTTACCTATGAGAGGTTACTGCTGTTGCCTGCGATGGAGATGCCAGTGGGAGATGCTGTGCTACTGAGGGCAGAGAGGGTTAAGGCTGGATGGGCCAGCCAGTGGCACGCACAACGAGACGAGGAAGCATGCACTAGATGTACTCACGAGATGAGAGATTTTCCTCCTCCTCTTTCGGCCAGTGGCATGGCAAGGCCGGTAAGACGGCACAGCAGAGAAGCAACAGAGGTACTCACATTCCTTGGAGAGTGGGGAGTTTGAACATCTGTGCCACGGGGCCAGTGAGCATGTTATAGGCTAAGTCACTGACATCGGAGGGTTGGGGGTTTGGGGGTTATGGCAGAAGGAAACGAACTGGGCAAACGTTGGAAGAGAGTATGGAAAGGAAAAAGGGTGGAACGAAGGAGTGGATTATGCAGAGGTGGGCAGGTGCACAGGGAGGGAGAGAGTGAGTGGAAGTATGTTTGTGCGTGTGCCTTGCGTTCGTGCATGCATGGATTGTTTGTGGAGGCGCCTCAATAAACGTTTCATGGAATAGGTTGGAGAGAATGAGAATGGATCGTGCATCATCATGCAGTGAGATGAGAATGTACGGGTAACGGGTAGTGCATGCATGCATGCATGCATACATGTATGAATATACATGCGTGCATGGATGTGATTGGGACCATTAGGGTGGGTGGGTGGGTGGGTGGGTGCGTGGGTGTTGGGAGGTGTGCCGTGGAATGGAAAGGGAAGAGATGGAAGGGAGGGAGAGAAGAGGGCAACGCAACACTCGAGCTGAATGACATGAATGCTGGTGCGGTGCGTACAGATGAGTTAGCTGTCCCATGTTGCTGACCGAGTCGGGAATGCTGCCAGCTAGAAAGTTGTGATTCAGAATCCTGCCATGCCATGCCATGCCATGGAAGGCAACAAGGAAAGATATGGAGTCTGGAAAACCAGTCGTCCCAGGGAACAGGTATATCCAGTCATGGGGTGACAAACAGCAGAGTGTGTTGCATGCGCTTACACATGAGTTGAGTTCAGTTCAGACCAAGGGATGAGGTGAGGGGTGCCTAGTCGCGCAAGCCACGTGGTCAGACGTTACAAAAGGATGTGTTGTAACACCAGTGCACTTGAACAGTGCGCAATGTCAGTTACACATGTCGAGAAGCCAAAACTATCATCATCGGTTCGGTATGCCACGAAAGAACATGAGTACAATAGGCAGACAGACGGACACACAGACAGACAGACCCAGCAACCACCACGCCCACCAGTGCGCGTATTCGGCTTTAACGGGATAACAGGCACTGCGGTACTACTTATGGACACAACAAGGTGTGTACGCTTGTGCGCGTATGTGCTCTATTGGGTGAACTACTCACAGTTGGTTCAGACGAGTGAGATCGCCAAGGTTACTGGGAAGAGCAGTGAGTGCATTGTGGCCGAGTGCCCTGACGGAGTGAAACAGCAGCCGCAGAATAAGAAGGGAGGCCTTGCTGTGACGCGTCCCAGCACAGTCAATGTCGTGCGAGCGTGGGCTAGCATTGGTGCTATTAGTAGTGCGGTATAACTACTACTGACTGACTGACTGACTGACTGACTGACTGACTGACTGACTGACTGACTGACTGACTGACTGACTGAATGACTGATTGACTGAATGACCGAGACAGCAGCAATGAGGTTGGTGGCAACGAAGAATCAGGTTGAGCATTGACACTGGTGCTAGAAAACACACACGCAATGAGCCTGGAGCCATGACAAAAGAGCATAATTGGACCATGAAACTGCCTGTGGGCACTGCACTGACAGAGAGTAGAGATTGGTGAGCTGCCCAATGGTGTCCGGAATGGATCCTCTTAGTGAGTTGTCATTCAGTTCCCTGCGCATGCCACAGCACAGCACAGCACAGCACAGCACAGCACAGCGCGGGGTCGGTAGAGTATGGAGGGATGGATACAAGGCGGTCATGATGAATGGCACATGGTGACATTTCCCGTGTGATGCTGCCAGCCTGCCATGCCATGGTGAACAACGCAACTGCAATGTAACATTAACGGCTTATGATCCATCCATCTTCAGCGCAGCGAAGCTAGTAGCTCACTCAGCGTGGCAGTCTCAGGCAACAGGAGGGGAGGAGAGTATAGTGTGGGAGGGAGGCAAACCGCACAGGTAGGACAGGTGGACGAGGTTACCGATCGACGCGGGTATGGATCCCCGAAGTTTCTCTCCCCCCTCCCACATCTCTCCCCCCATGTGCCTGGCAGGGGGTAAGAAAGGATGGAACGTGGAAGAGCAGGGGAAGAGGGACAAGCACGAGGTGATGGGTTATGTGGCGTTATGATGGCTATCGCAGGCCTTCTACCGATCTACTACCTACCTATGCCATGATGTCATCATGATGCCATGAAGAAGGATCACCCATCATGCATGCACGCATGCATGCATGCGGCATGCATGTGGCATGCCCTTGTGCCATCACATCACATGTACGAAATCGCATGTCACGGTCACCATACCTCAGGGGTGCTCACGGTGCCCAGGGCATGCCCTTTAGTATGGTGAGTGATGACTAGCATCATCATGCGTCACTCTCACTATCGTCGCCATGCGTCACTAGTGCAACTATCAATGTTTGATGTTAGTAATTTTCTCAATAGCACCAAAATCCATGATACCTTGATTTTTATTGATCGGAATGCAGCTAGCTATATAACACCTCGCTACCCACTGGGTCAAAACGAGGGTGTTATTTAAGCACAGCGAATGCCCTTAACACTAGCCCACAGGCGTTACACTCGTCACGTCCTTGCTGGTTCAAAACTTCAGAGAGTTGGCTCCCGGGGGGACCTCAATTTTGCTGGGCTAAACAGCGATGTTGCCTGGTGGACAAGGCCAGAGACGATTTTTGAGGCGCCTCAAAAATCGTCGCAGGGAGGGAATTGCTGGGCTAAACAGCAAGTTTGCCTGGTGGACGAGGCCAGCAGCGGATCGTTCGCTGGGTTCAAGTCTGGTAACCACATTCGAGTTCTTCTCGCTACTAGCGGAAAATGTGGACCAGCCAGGATTTGAACTTTAGGGTGTGATTACACTATAACGCCTCGCTCCCCACCGGGTCAATCGAAACACGGATGTTCTGTAGGCGCAGTGTATTTCCTATACACTAGCCCAACGGCGTTACAAGCTAGTTCATTGAAAGCAATTTCGCCTCCTTGAATAGAGACAACACTTCCATCAACTACCTGAATTGGTTTCCTGGAAGCAAAAGCACTGCGTGACTCACAGTATGGTCACCATACCGTCCACATCGCACAGAATGCCTCTGGGCTTGGGCCAGTTGGGCTCAAAAAACCCGTTCAGAGCCTGAGCTATGAACGCTTGCTCCTCCAAGCACGCGCCTCCTTCTGCCCACCCCTCCATCGTCACGCCCCACTCCTTCTGGCAGTCCAGCAGGGGTGTGACTGTAACGGGGTGCAAATTCAGCACAAAATTCAACAACGCGCAGGCAGATAGGGGCATGAGTTATGAGGTGAACTACGTGGATGATGTCAGGGGAATGGAAGAACTGGGGAAAGAGCGGAACCGGGATCGCCGATGACCAGGTTGAATGAGATGAGAAGGAGGAGGAGGCAGCAACTCAGTGGGGGCGATGGAGCTCTAGGAGAATCAGCGCAAGACGGCCCGTCTTGTAGTGACTACAAAGACTCTGGCTTGAAAACTGCGAAGCGATCAGGTGGTCCGACTAGTTACGGCGGCCGTTCGACCGGCTTCTCGGGTAAGCAGGAGAGGAGATCCATGAGCAAGGACTGAGGCACATTCAATTCAGGCCAGGCTCAATGCATCACGAGACATGATTTACATCGTGGACAATCATACCATACACCGACACTGCTCCTACTTGGAATATCATTTTAGCATGGCACAGAAAATGGTACAGAAACGGACAGATCAAGCGTAACGTAGTGGTGGTACCTTGGGAGGGGTGGAGGGTGACCGTCACTTCTGCAGCAGCGCGGGGGACAGATATGGCCTCGAGGCATGACGCTAGGAGCAGAAGCGGAAGCGCCATAGTAAGATTCCCATCATGGCTAGTACGACTGCTGCTGCTGCTGCTGCTGCTGCTGCTGCTGCTACCAGTACTAGTGCGCGTGGTACTACTTGCACTCCGGGTTCGCAACGAGTTCTCCTTGAGACTTGCTGGCGTCAGCCAGTGGCGTCCGAGTCGGTGCATTACAACCGTTGGTGGCGTTCGCAACGGCACTGGCGGCGCTGTGATCCGTCGTAAACTCTCAGAAGACTTAACCACAGAGACCGCCGCTTATACTCGGCGGGTGTAAAATGGCTTAGTGAAATTCCCCGTTCAAAACCGGGGACCATAGGTTTCAGAAGGTAGGAAGGTTGGGCTAGATTAGTCCGCAAATGGCATTGAGATGTATAGACGCCGGACGCCGAGTCAAATACTGTCACCCACGTTACCCAATCTAGGATGCAACTGAGGAAAACCATCCTGCAACTGAAGGGCGTGTCTGGGTTGGGTGCCGTGCCGTGCCGAGTCGTCCTCTTCCACGTATGTAGAGCAATGTGACTGGGTGTTATGTCTGCGGTGTTGATTGCCTTATTCCAGCCGGCTGGTGACATGTGGCACATGAGCTTATAGACGCACCCCTAAATTTCCCGTAAAATTATTAGACCGCACCCGAGGGGAGGCAGCCAACCAGGTACGGTACTTGCGATAGAGCAGGCCCACTTGTTGCGGGCACTGTATTCCCTATTATTTTCTCATACGTATATATACACATATTTATATGTAAACTGTAAAATTTGCGCATGCTACTTCCACAAACCCACACATGTTTCGCATGACAATCACATCAGACCACGTTTTGAGCCCCTTGTGATCTTCAGAGAGGTTTCATCCTAGCTCCAACCCTAGTTGGAAGTTGGAAACCAATCGTCGATCAAAAGTCTACTTCACAAATTTCAAGCTCTACATTTTGATCCTGACTAGGACCCTGCACCTTGCACCGATTGGACCCCACTTGCTTATAAATTAGCAGGGCCCCGGCAGGAAAATCATGATACGGTACTAGCGTGGCACGCAGATGTACTTGGATCCAACATTCCTCGCACAGGCGTTGCCGTTGTAGTCAGAAAACATGGCAGCTGCTTCGCTCGCGGTGCCGCCATAGAATGTGTAAGTGCCTGAACAAGTCAGCGATGGCGACACTGACTTGGAGCGGCCTTTGTTGCACCGACCGAGTGTAAACGACCAGTAGTCCGCCTTGAGACACACCTGGGGGAGCAGCAAGGTGTTAATAATGAGAGGAGAGGAAAGGGAAAAGAGTGGCAAAAAGATCGGAGAGATGATAAGACTGGCAGTGTAAAGTTTGACTAATGCAAATTTTTGAAGAGAAGGTGCAAGGATAAGACGCATGGTACTTGTCATTTATAGCAGGCATGCAGGTGCACAAAATTGCGTCAAAGACCGGATCACTTTGGTTGCTTACACCTTTACGACGATCACAAAGGTGGTGTGCAGTGCAAATCTGGACCTTACCAGACACAGCGACCAAAACTAAACAGATTGCAACAATTTGATGCTGCCATGCTCTCAAATGCCAAAGTCCAAAACCATCTGTAATACGGCTTCGCACAGCTCACCTGGACGTCACCGCTGCTGCCAAGAGCAGAGGTACTTGTCGAGACGGTGTTGGAGCAGACGAGGCCGGGGTTGTTGCGGTAGAGCTCGTCCCAAGCAGACGCCCCCACTACTCCCGATTCTCCTGTCCTTGCCAGCAGCTGCGCACACGTGTCCTTCACTGTGAGCGTGGTGAACTTGAGGCACTCGGGGACGGTGAAGGCGAATGTGGCGCTGCGCTCAACGCACACGGAGCGCCCCGCCTTGATGCCCTGCTCGCAGCTCAGCCCGGGGTTGAGAGCGAGGAGGTCGGACTGGGATCGATTGAGCAAGGTGGCGATGGAATCACACGTGTCGCCCTGGGGGGTTCAACAAGGGGAGAAAAGAGATGAGGGATGACTCATTGGCCCTTGAGGTTTGCAAGTGCCAAGTGCATGTAATGGTTGTGCTGATGTGAAAGGGATGTGATGAATCTGTAGATTATCGTGCCTGGTTCTGTGAGCCAGTAGTGTAGTAGGGGAAGCGTCAAATTTGCGATAAACATCAACTGTGGCATCTTAGTACCTCCCTCAACTGCAACACCCAAGATATCAATGTCTGCTCACGCCCCCTCACTGGTGTTCACGCAGCAACCAGCTGACCTATCTGCATTCACAATCCCTATAAATAGTTCAGCGCAAGCCCGGGAGCTCACAGAGAGGGCGTAGAAGAAGGCAGTGCAGGGGACGACAGGAGAGCCGCCAAGCTGAAGCACCGCATTCAGTAGCAGCAGCTTCGAGCAGTCAAGAGCCTGCAAGTAGCAGCCCCACATCACGAGCATGAAGCCTTCAACTTCATTATGTGGAAGCCCTAAAAGTACGGATAACATCTATGCATGCCCTCCACTGCCACTCCCCTGAAACAACCAGCAAGCCCCTCCCATCAAAACCACCTGCATCGCTTTCCCACGCGTGCAGCCCACCCACTGCTTACCGGGTTCTGCTGCATGAACTCAGAAATGGTGTGGCATATGAGGGTGCTTTTGAGTCGACTCAAAAGATTTTGTAAGCGTGTGCCCCACCCCACTTCTTACCGGGTTCTGCTGCATGAACTCAGCAATGGTGAGGCCCATGAGGGGGTGAACGTCGGAGCAGCCCCAGTTGCTGCCGCTCACTGCCAAGCTGGTGGCAATGCTGTCAGCTGAAGAGTGGGGAGGAAGCGAAAGGGAGAAAAAGAGGGAAGCTGTTTGCTGTATTAATGTCTGGAGAGGGGGCAGGGAGTGGGGTGGGAGGATGACACAGTTCAAATTTCAACCAAGTTTCAACCAAGTTTCAACCGAGATACCCTTAGAAGAAACGCTACTAAATACCCGCATTAGTCCTGGGGGTGTGTGTGGGCGTGCTTCTTATGACAAGAGCAGATCCTGCTGAGGCAAGGAAGTAAAAGAAGCAGCACCTGGGTCGCAGGTTGGAAAGCCGTCGACGGTTTGGGTGGAAACGTGGTTGGGAGGGCAGATGCAGGAGTAGGAGCCGTTGCCATTGTTGATGCAAGTGCCCGCGGCACAGGGGTTCTTCAATTGCGACCCACACACGTCCACTGCAAGAGAGGAAAGAAAGGCAGATGGGAAAGAGAGAGAGAATATGATCTGAAAACCGTGGCTGAATATGGTATAATAAGAAACGAAAAACATGGGCCTTTTGCAGTACATTGTGGTGAAATGCACCACTCTAAACAATGCCACACCATAGTGCAATGCAATGCAAACGCATGTCTCACTTACCATAGACGCATATGTTGGAGCCAAACCCATTAGGGACCTCCACAAAGGGCTGTATGGCAGACTTGGGGAGGGTGCACTTGCTGCAGGAGTTGGTGTCAGTTTTAGGGAAGGGCTTGCACGTGAAGCGACCGCACGGGCTGAAGGTGGGACTGACGTCTTGATCCGCCTTGAAACTCTTCTTGCCACATGGATCCCCGGGAACTGGAGGGGAAACAAGGGGGTCGTAGATAGGCAGACATCTCACTCTTGACAATGAGGTAGTTGTTTCAATCTTGACAATCTGGGAGATGCCTCACTCTAGACAATGGGTTGGATGCCTCGTTCTTGAAAACGGGTACGATGCCTCACTTTTGATAATGGGGTAGATGCCAGGCAGCACGTTGATGCCACACACGCCATCTAATCCCTGAATGTCCATGCGCATGTGCCCATTATAGCCCCATTCCGTTCCCCACGAGTTGCGGATGATCCAAAACGGAGGGGGAATACGCTTCTGCACGCTGTCCCCCACGGCCACGGAGTAGCCAACAACAAGCACCACGTGGTTCAGCTCGCCCGTGTAGCACGCTGGGTCCTGGTACTTGTACGTCTGGCATTGAGCACGGGAAGCACAAATACCAAATTAGCGAGGAAAGGTGGCCGCAAGAGCATTGGTCATGCCAGAAAAAACAACCAAGGTGGAAGGACAACGAGGTGCAAAAAGGCATCTGGTATTTGCTTTTGCAAGACATACATTTATAACATCCCTGGTTTTTTTCTCAGCAAAACTAACATGTTCTTTTAGGTTTCAATCTTGATAAATGCAATGCAACCATTCTGACATTTTCCTCCATATGTTTTGTTGTCTGGCGTGCTTGCAATGCGCCGTTGAAATGCTTCAATAAATGTGCGCATACGATTTCGACGGTGCAGATCCGATCATGTTTCTACACGCCACTTTTTTAAAGTTGCAGTTAGATTCGCTCCAATTGGGCGAGGAGAAAACTCAGTGGCAATCAGTAACTCGGTCCGCAAAATATATTGACCAATCGTGAATGAAAAGGTATGGCTGCGCGAGTGCTTGCGAACTCATTCTGTTATACGTGCTTGCTCTTCGCCACGTGCCGAAAACCCTCGGACCGTGGACATATGGTAGTGGCGAAACCAACTGGCGAATTTGGCTCGCGAGCAAGTAACAGCCGCGTCACTCTCCAGGTGGTGGGAGCAACTGCGAGCAGCAACCAATGCGAACCACCAAAAAGTGGTGACGCAAGCAAGTGCGAACTTGTTGCGCGAGCAAGTGTGGCTTGCTGTGATTGATACCAAAATCGGTCAAACTCTGTCTGCGAACAGCGCGGTATGCTTGTATTGATCGAAGATGTTGATTTTGCACAAACATAGAAAATCTTTCCTGACTTACTGTTGACATTTGGAAAAAAAAAATGCACACCCAATAAATCGGCAGATTGATATAAAGAAAACACTTTCCTGTATTCAGCACCCTTGTGTTGTGTGCCCATCGCTCCTATGTTAAAACATGATGGTTTCACTTCGATCTAGGCTAGGTTAGGTTATCACATTCAACCTTCTACACCTCGTAGCACGAGACCTTATTTTTCAGTAATGCTTTCGTATCATCTTCATTCTTCATGACTACCTTGTCACATGAGTTCCACTCACCCCGTCATAAGCGGCGAACGTGGGAGCAGATGCCTGAATATGAACCACCACTGGCTGCCCCTGCACTGCCAGCATGAGCCCCACATACCCCTTGAACCGCGTGCGCTCGAAGCCTTGGATGGGATAGTATGTGGCCTGGATGGGAAGTTCAGAATCCATCATGCAAAGCAAAGGCATGTAGCTGAAGTTATGTTGTGGACAGAACGGGAAAATATCGATCAATTCTTAGGAAGAGTGACATAACATTGCTGATTTTAATTAACATTTTCACACACTGGCAATTTAAACACTCGACCTCGGGGGGTTGACAAATTGACACTGACCCTCGTATGTTGGAAAGGATGCGTCTAGCGTTCTAGATGCTCGCATCCAGATGTTGGACTGGACGCTCCAACTCGTTCTTTCTAAGTCGCTAAGAGAACGCTATGTTGTGCAGCCAAAAAAAAAACTTTCAGGGTTTAAAAAAAAAAGGGAAGGGGTGGAGGGGGGGGGGGGGGAGGGGGGTGTTGAGAGGGGGACGAGGGGCCCAAAACATGGCGTTTTGCCTCGCCAAATGAGTCGACTTAAAAAATTACCCCTTTTGGTCGATCTAACTAAACGTGAGTCATGGGGAGTTATGTATGGGTCTGCTATCCACAAAACAAACATGCCCTTCTAACCCAATTTAGAAGCAGACACCTCACACGCGTGTCTATTTGACAATTACCCCTTTGCTAATGCTGCCGTATTGGAAAGGCGAAAGTATTTAAAGCAGCACACCAGCTCTTACATTGGTAGTGAGAGTGAGTCCTCCTTTGGGTAAAGTCAAGAGCTTCTCGAAGGCTTCTGTTGGGGAACCCCCGTCGGCGCACTTCCCTTCTTCTGTGGTGAGCCCCATGGCTGCAAAGAGCGAGTCCACTGAGAGTTGTGGCGCGGGTTTCTTTGTTGCGATGCCGTATGCTGCTTCTATGCTCGCCACCACTGCGAACGCCCAGCACGCATCTGAGCAGCAAGTCGGACACAAGGTGAGGCGAAACAATGTGCAGGATAGAGAACGGGGGGGTGCAGAGCAGTTCTCGGTTTTAGAATAATGACAAGAGAGAGTATATATCCCCCTTGCCTACTCTACTCACTGGATTATGCTCTCCTCCCTCCCACCAACGCCGTTACCCTCCCTCCGTCCCTCCCTCCGTCCCTCCGTCCCTCCCTCCGTCCCTCCTCCCCTCCCTCCTCCCTTTCCCCTCCCACTCTCTTTCAACCCTCCATCCCTCCCCTCACAACCCCTCCCTTTGTCCCTCTCCCCCCCTCCCTTCCTCCCCCAGCCCCTCCTTCCCACCCTCCCTCCCTCCCCCTCTCTCTGCCTCCCCAACCCCACCCTCCCTACCATCCTCCCTCCATTCCTCCACCCCTCCCTCCCTCTTTCCCCCCCTCCCTCCTCCACCACCCTCCAGGCCACTACTCACTGCAGGCGTCCTGGTCCTTGACAGACCATTTGAGCCACGCCACATCCCAGGAGGTGGGATCGCGGAGGAGCCAGGCGTCCTGCTGGCCCGAGAGAGTGTAGGACGCACTCACGTACCGCGTGAACGGACTCGCACCCACGGGGCGGAAGGTGGACGGGGACACGGTGAGGCCAAAGGCTGCAGCCAAGGCGGGAAAGGGGGGCAAGAGGGCGAGGGAAGGGAGGGCAAGTGGGCGAGGGAAAGGGGGGCAAGAGGGGGAGGGAAAGGGGGGCACGAGGGCGAGGGAAGGGAGGGCAAGAGGGGGAGGGAAGGGAGGAAGGAAGGAGGGGGGACAAGAGGGCAAGGAAGGGAGGAGGGATGGGGGACAAAGGGGCGAAGGATGGGAGGAAGCAAGGAGGGAAAGAGGGCGAAGGAGGGAGGAAGAAGGGGTGGCAAGAGGGTGAAGACAGTGAGTCAAGTGGAGCATTCTGGGGGGAATGATGAGAGGAAGGAGGGGAACAGGAGGGCAAACGGAGGAGAAGTGTGTGTGGGGGGTGGGGGAGGGAGGGGAAAAGGGGGCGAGTGGACAGATGGGGATTTGTGGCTATGCAAATGCTTGCACGTATGAAGACTTTTAGAAAGAAAAGGCTCCCTGTACAGGTATACCTGGAGTAATGGACACTGGCCTGGATGGTGTGGGCACTGTCAACCCTGTGGATGACACCAGAGAATTGCATGACAAGCGAACAGAATGAATCAGAATATCAGCGAATGGCTTGACTCAAGAATTTGTCAGCCCAGCCAGCCAGCATGACGAGTGATGCCAACAAAATGGGCAGACAAGTCAACAGACGCGATTCAAACAAGTACTAGATATGAAACCAACAGCTAGAAACCAAAGAAACGGACATCTATTCGAATCCGCAACGTGAAGGAGAGAGGGGAGAGCTCCTAGAAAACCTGGACTCGCCTGTTTCAACGAAGGACACGAGGATGGCGTGCTGCTGCTGGAAGGGAGCCACAGAGGACGCCACAAACCCAAAGTAGAACGACGCATCAGTTGACGTTGGCTGCAGAATTGCACACAGAGAGATATTTCTCTCCAGTAGAGGCACGTCCGGCTTGTCCCCTCCCGCAGCCAGATACACCTTGAGGGTTCCCATCCCCCCCGAGCTGCTTCCAGGCTTGTAGTCAATCCATGATGTGTAACCAATTTGGTTGTTCAGTCGGAAGGGCGAGAGAACAGCTTTGATGGAAGTGGCGTTGCCTTTAACGTCCAGACCCACGTGGTCTCCTTGCAGGTCCTTGTGCGCTGCATCTGTGAACGTGTCAAACTCTACGGCTAGGCTCCGAGCGTCCATGCCAGCGTACCCCACCCCTCCCCCTGCCCCTCCAGTCCCGGCCGCATTCGTCGCCGAAATCACAAACGCGAGCCCGTTCGCACCCTTAAAGGATGCGATAGCAGTGGGGAACATGAAGAATGTGAACTCGACTCGGAATGGCAGGTCAGTGCCACAGTCGTTGGGAACTGTTCGGTAGGTGAAGAGGGGGAGAGGGTTCGCTGTGAACACTCCTGCCGTCGCTTCGTCTGTGCCCTTGATGAGAATAGTCGGCTCCACCAGCTCCCTCCTCTTTACAGACCCTGCACGCAGCGACGACCGTCAGAAAATAGCCAATAAATCGTGGTCAGAAGCAGAGTTGGGACTCGGGTTGAGCTTAGGGTTGGTTCGAGGTTCGGCTCGGGTTTGTGGAGAGGGATCGGAAAGAAGGAGAGGAGCGGAGTTGGAGTGGAGGGTACGAGGGAAAAGGGAGAGGAAGCGATGAAACGAAAAGAGCAAAGGAGGGAGATGCAAGGATGAACACCATCTGCTAGTCGACATGCTGCTTGTTCTTTCCTGTTAGTGTCCCTACTTCTACTGCTTCTATCTGTGCTGCTACTACTTACTACTTGCCCCTACTTCTCCTACTGCACGTACCCGGAGGGGCGCAGGAGCTTCCTCCATCCTGCACGGCTCCATTCAGACAGAGACACGTGGGAGCGAGGCTCGGCCCGTCCAGATAGCACAGCCCCATGCCGTTGCAAACAGGCGTGGTGGTGCCGTTCATCCCACAGAACGCCGCACACACCGCTGGCAATCGCTGCGTGGCACATGTTACCGTCGGTGCTGCGGATGTTACTGCTGCTGTGGAGAAGCAGTTTGCGCCGAGCTTGAGATTGGCTGACGCGCAGTCAGATTGCTGCAGATCGCCTGTGAAGTAGTTGTTAGTGTACTCGTAGCGTGCGGAGGCCGGCATGCTGGTGCGGTCCAGAATGGGTCCTGTGAGATAGTTGCCCGAGACGTTCCTGAGAGGAAGGGAGAGGGGGGAGGAGTGGGGAAGGGAAAAGGAAGGAAGAGAGCAGGAGACAGGTCGATTGGGGTAAGGGATGTAAGGTAGAGAAGGATTGGGAGAAGGGAACCGATGCAACAACTGCTAACGAGGTGATGAATAAAATAGTTGGTCAGTGTTCAGCAACAGAGCATGATGAATTAGTGAGGCTGTGCGCGCAGCACGGGTACGGCTGAGATGACGCACACCCACAGTTGCCAAGGCCATGTGTCCATGTCTGCTGCTTCTTCTGCTGCAGCGTATACTGCACGGAGTGAGTTAGCAGCTCGTTCCAGGGATGCGACTAACGAGGCATGATGATGATGTCTGTCTGCAGGGGGGGAACTCACAGCACAGTGAGCCCAGTCAATGACGACAAGACGGCTGGGAGGGAGCCACGAAGCTGGTTCGAACCCAGGGATCTGAGGTGAATAGATATAGAACAGGGGCACAAGATGAAGCGGACCATGGGGACTGGCACCGTACAGACAGCTTCGTGCTGCCTCGCAAGGGTACTAGGTAGGGAGAATGGGGGAAATTGGGGGGGATACTGGGGGCATTGCATGGCATGGACGGATCATGGCTGGCATGCGGTCATGGAGAGGAGATGATATGGAACAATATCGCATGCTTTTTTTCGCTGCGCCTGGGTGTGTGCTAGGGTGTGTGCATGTGTGGGTGCGCGTGAAATAAATGTGGGTGCGCGTGCGTGTGTGCGTGTGAGTGTGCGTGTGTGGGTGTCTGTGGGTGTGTGCGTGAGCGCGAGTCTGAGTCTGAAGCACCCAGAGGGGAACAGGGAAGGGGACGGTGAGGCACAGAGGTGGTCAGGGGGGACGCATGAAAGGTCGTGTTTATGGAAGGGGGACATTCAATGTTGTCTGGCTGACAACGTTTAGGAAGGGAATGACAGGCACGTGGGATTGTTCGCACACAAAGTCTCGTGAAACAAGCAGAGAGTGTAAAACGAGTGTGCTCCACAGCAGGCGGGGGTTTCCTCTTACAACAAACTCCAGTACCCCGTTTGAAGGCAATCCCTCCCTCCTATGAGGAGGCGGGGCAATCCCAGGAAGGACCCACTGATGACGGCAACTTCAGTGCCCCGTTTTAAACAGAGAGGAACAGGTGGGTGTGATTCAAACGGCACGTACAGGTAAGCTAGCTGAGCGAGGGAGCTCAGAGATGCAGGTAGGGATCCCTGAAGTTGCTCGTTTGGCATGCTCCTGTGTAAGATGTGACGTGACAGGGAGGGACAACAAAAGGCAGCGGAAGGAAGAGAACAAGGCCATTCAATGCCATACGTGCCTTACCCAGCATGACATCATGCAAAAACATAAATCAGGAAAGACTCTCAAGAGGATGAGGCTGGCACAGCCGAACAAGCACCTATCCAGCAAGGCGCGCACTCACAATGCGATAACCTTGCCGTCCCCATCACACAGAATGCCTCTGGGCTTCACCCAGGGGGCTTCGTTTGGGTCGAAGGTCGCCACGGCGCAATTCTCCCCCGCACTCCACGTCGGCATCACCACGTTCCACTCCGTCTGGCAGTCCTGCAGAGCCGGGGCTGTAGTACCGAACAGGTAGAGCATCATGCGGCAGCATGCAGCGCGGCGGTGCCGTGTGCAAGAGACGAGACGACGGAAAGGCATCAATGACGTCACGTTGAGGAATGTAGAATTCGCAGCATGAAAATGTAGAATTCAAGGAAATTGGCTAAGTTCTGGTACAGGCCCAACTGGCAGAAGGGAAAGGCGATGGGGAAAGGGGTCGTCGCGAGGCGGCCTCGCGGAGCATTCTTAGGATCGTAAACACCTTAGTCGGCAATAGTCTACTTGCTATTGCTTATCGTGTTCTCCACGATCTCCCAAATCCAACGATATGCGCAGCTCTGCTTGAAGTTGTCAATACACACTTCAGCAATTTTCAGAATCTCCAAGTTATGTTTTCCAGAATGAGTACAAGCAGTTTTATAGTCAAGCAAGTCACAAAATGCGATTCGTAACTTCACTTGTTTCCCAAGTAACCGCGTGCGCCTCGTTTCACCCCGAGTCGCACACGGAACTTAACCGAATTCGCCGAACACTCCTCGAGTCCGAATCCAGCACCTTCTCGAACTCGCCTCAGTCTCGAACCACAATTTCCCCTTGTCAACTCCAATCTCGATACTTCTTCACTCTTCTTCCTCCATTTCTC